TTAGCAAAATATGCTACGTACGATAAGAGCAAGATAATGTAAACTCAATTTATTTGCAAACATGCTTTTAAAACTAATTCTAATAATTAATCCAATAATTCGAAAACTCATGATTCAAAGCCAATTCTCAATATTCTCAAAACAATTCCAACAATTCAATAATTCAATAAATATGATTTATAAAACCAATTCCTCTTTTTAAAACCAATTCCTCACCCAAGTGCGCACACCCCTCAAGCTAGTCGCCTACTATTTCAAGGCTATTCTTGAGGAAAGACCCGATCATACAAAGTCCAAGGCCTTATCAAACCAAATCCACATAGTGGGATTACTAACATGCTTGCTTGTAAAGCTTTAATTCAATTCAATAATTCCTCCTTAAATAAAATCAACCTTTATAATAGGTTAAATCAAACCCCTTTTTATTCAATTCAATCATGCTTTCAATCATATTAATAACTTTTCAAAATCAATAACTCTTTCTTTGAAAACCCTTTTATTTAATTCAACAAACTTTTCAAATCAATTCCTTTATTTAAACATGATAAAATTCAAACCATTTAAAACACGATTTAAAACTCAATCATTCAAAATACTTTTATTAAAACAAATATTAAAATCAATACCTCCAAACATAATTTATTTCATAAACCATAATTCAAATCAATTTAATTCAATCATCATAAAATCATTCAAAACATGTTATTCAAACCAATCACTTTCAAAGGTATCTAGCCACCTAAACGTACCTTGATTTTGAATATAAATCAACACTTTGCACTTTCAAAGTTCAATCACGAATACACCTTGCAAATAACATACCATGAGGTTACCACAACATAAACTCAAATCTAATGTGCATGGACCAGGGCCGTAGCATTGATTTTGGGGGCCCTGTTCTAAATCGAAAAAGGGGCCCTTAATAATGTAAAAATTATACTATGAAACAAAGTACTTTTTATCTATAATTTAGATAATGCACAATTTTCCTATATATACATTACAAAATGAAAATGCTTTTGTATAACAATAATATATTCAATTATGCAAAATTAATTCAAATATTTTATTCATGTTAATATATCAACTAAATATAACATCATAATTATAATAATAATGTCACATATATAATTATAGGTCCGTAGAAAACTAGAAACAACCAATTAAGATTCTAATCTTTAACATACAAGTTGCAAAATTAAAAATTAAAAATTCATCCAACTGTGAAATAATAGTAATGGTTAAGATACTGCATAATTGCATTCATACAATTTATACATGCCCATAGAAAAATAAGAAGCCAGGAGTCTAGGACCGTATAAAAAAATCAATTAAAATTGCTTCAATTGATATTATCAAACCAAAAACATTAAAAAAAATTGAAATAAAATAAACATCAAAATTTTACCTTTAACCAATAGACAAAGTAGGAATCAATGAAATCAGTCATTCAAAAAGCTATCAAAACAATACCCCCAAGTGAAGTTCCAATTGGTTTTTGTTTTTGTTTGATTGTGTATCAATTGAGAATTAGATGAAATAATCATGGAAAATCAAATATAATTAATTGTTCATTGCCAATGTGATAGAAGAAAAAACGTTTGAATTTGACTGAGTATATGTAATTTTCCATTAAAAATCCTTGAATGGAGAAATTATTTTCCATGGAATTGAATTGATTTAATTAAGATACTACGATACTAATTTAAATTGATGAAGGAATTTGGAAAGTTGTAGAAATTAATATGAAGCTTGAATAAAGGGAGGAAAATATTTTTGATGAAAATAATAGCGTGATTTGCTACATTGAAACTTGACGGCGTTATAAACAAGAAGACTAACAAATACTCCGTATACAATCAATAGTTAAAAATAAAAAATAAAAAAAAAAAGGATTAAAAAAAATGGACCCTCTTAAAATTAGAGGCCCTATGCAAGAGGGCACCTTGCACACCCTCTTCTACGGCCCTAGCATGGACTATAAAACTCTTTTAAACTTATAATTTAATATAAAATTATAGCTTTGAATTAGGTACTTGTATTTTAGAAAACTAACAATGAAGAAGATAAAGGAATAGGGTTAAAGAGAACTGAATTTTCGTTGGAAAAAATACGCATAACTTACAGAGACCATAACTCCTTCAATATAACTCCGAATAGAGTATTCTTAAGCCAAACCTCAAGGATTTTTCGAGAGGAACAATCTTTAGTGACACAAATTCTTAAATGCACCTGGTTCACACTAATTTATTGTGGACCACTAGTATTAGAGTAAATATGGTTGTTTTATCAATAAAAAAAAAGGTCACTATAATAAAAACAAGGCCACTATGTTGAAATAAAAGTCATTTTTGTACTATACTAGTCGTTGGAGCACGCGCTACGCGCGTGCCCCCCCCCCCCCCGACACTAAGATATGTAAGCTTCGTGACTGAGATCGTGTTTTATAGTTTGGGGTGTTATTAACATGCTGATTATGGGAGCTTAATTTAATGTTTTGTAAAAATAATTTGTTGTATTGTTAATGTGAATCGTGTATGATTATCTTGAATATCCAATTTTTTTGGATCGAATATTCATAGATTTTGGATTGGATACGGCTCGGATCATCAGATTTTGAGAGTTTAAAACAATCACTAATTCGTGATATAAGTTTATTTAAATTTAATTAATAAGTTTATAATAATTCTAATTTTTATTCGCATCAAATTTGTTTTCTCATTACCATAAATTGGGTGTTCTTGTGTTTTTGGAAAGATCAATAAGGGCTTTATACAATAGAGTAAGTTGAATTCTAATTTGGTTGACTGATTAAATAAGTATTTCAGAGTACTATAGTGTATGTATAAACATGAAACGCATGATAATGCGTTTTCTTTCTCATATAACTTCTTTATTTCTTTTAAGAGTACTAATTAATAACACCCCCCCTCTCTCTCGCGCTCTCTCTCTCTCTCTCTCTCTCTCTCTCACACACACACACACACACACACATTTATCTCTTTTCTGACTTTATCTCCCCGTTCTTTTTTTTTAAAATGACTTTGGAATTAAAGGTTCACTTGCTCACATTTCTCCCTTCCTTTACTGCCCCAAACTCTTTCTCCATTTCTTTCTTCTATCATAATTCTTCTTGTCCCTGTTTCATTTTTTTTAAAAAAAATTAGGCTTTTAAAATTATAGATTGTACTTTCTCGCCTCCTTCCCCTCCTCCCACATCAATCTTTCTTTCTTTCTCCCCTAAGACCTCTATCTCAGCTTTTCTTTATCTCCCTCTTTCTTCTGGCTTCTCTCTGTTTCTCTTTCCCTTCCTCATATAGCCTTATCTCTAATTAGCACTCTAACTTTATTCGATCTTTTGACCTCCTCTATCTCTCTTGGCCCTCGTTATCTCTCTATCTCCCTCTCTTTTTCCCAACTCCTCTTTCTTATTCTCTCTTTCTCATAAATCCTCTTTCTCATCTCTTGGCTCCTCTCTCCCATCTCTTGGTCTTCTTACCCAGCCCTTCTCTGTCTATCCCCTAACATGTTCTTTAATTTACTCTTAGCTCATGTCCAGCCTTTTCTCTTTCTATTTTATTTTAACTTTTCTCTCTTTCATAGCACGCTTCTCTTTTAGCCCATCTCCCCTCTCCCCTTCTCGTGACCTTGCCTTCTCTCTCTTTAGCACCTTCATATCTCAACCCCCTCTATCTTTCTTTCTCTTTTGACATTGTCATTCGGTCTATCTATCTATTCTTTCTCTTTCTCTTGGCCTCTTTTTCTTTCCCAACCCTTTTCTCTCTCTCTCTTCCATCACTTTTCATTCCTGGCTCCCTCTCTTTTTTTCTCTCTACCCCTCTCTTCCTTTCCCACCCCCCCTCCCCCGCTCTTTTTTTTCCCTCTCCATCTCCTCCTATTTCTTCCTCTCTCTATCTCTCTTTCTCTCCTCTCTCGAGTCTCTTCCACTCCTTCTCCCCCTTCCTATCTGTTACCCTTTATCTTCCTAAAGTTATCTATAACTATGATTGTATTAACATAAAAAAAAACATTTAGTCATGAATCTAACATGATTTTTTATCAGAATGTTGAAAATTTTAGGCCTTGTTTAGTTGACCTTATTTTCACTTATTTCAAGAAAAATAAGTTCATATAATGGTTAATAAGTTTAGATAAGATAAATTCAGAAAAAATAAGTTTAAATGAGTTGTGATAAGAGCTTATCAGGGTTACCCAAGTTCAATTTATTACTAAAATAAGTTTTAATAAGGATTAATGAGTTCAGATAAAATCAGATAACTTCATATAAGTAAAAATCAAGTGCCCGTAAAAAAAAAAAAAAATCAAGTGAATAGAACGCACTCTTATTCTAAAGGTGTTAATAAATTAGATGTCTCAATTGTCACGAAATCACGCTATTTAATTAATAACATTTACTAATTATTTTAAAAAAAGTGTGTCCAAATATAGTTGTCAAAATCTAGTCCCCCTATCTTGCTATTTCTTTTTTTTCCCTCCCTTTAGCTTTCTCGTTATTTCACTCGTCTTTTGTAATTTTGACTACTTTAAAATGTAGTGTCATCTTCTCCTTAATGACACTCTAATAAGTATTCTTAATAAGTAATCTCTCTCTCTCTCTCTCTCCCCTTTTCAATGGGTTATTTTTGGGTGTGTTCACCTCTATCCTCTCATCTACAGTTCTACGTTCTCAATTTTGAGTATCTCTTACTCCTACCTTGAATTTTGTTTAAGTTTTCATCTCCTTGTACTACTAGTTACGGAGAAAAAGTAACAATTTTGCAACTACATGCTTTCATCAAACATCAATCAGTTCTACATAATGTTCTTAGCACACACACATTGAGATTCATCCAACAAAACAATGAACAAATAAAAAAAAATTGAAGTTACATGGTTTGTATGGTTATTTAACTTGTTTGTTGGCTGGTTATATTTAATTATTTATGCTATTTGGCCAATCCATCTATTGCTTTATAGAAAAATGTGTTCGCACATAACGAAATTGAAAATGTACATTCATACAAATGGAAAAACATAGCCACTAATTACGATTAATGTTAAATTCTTAGAATATCCATTTGAGTAACATCAAATGCAAGAAACTATTCAAGGACATTTTAAAGCTATCTTAAGCTAAAACACTGAAATGAATTGCCTACTTATCTTCACCAAAAAAATAAAAAAAATAAAAAATAAAAAATAAAATTAAAAAAAAAATAAAAAACAGTGGCAAAAATTATCCAGTATCCATAATTTATTATTAAAAGTTTAACACCCAACAAAACCAATCAATTGTTTCCACCAGCAGATACTCGGCCTAGACCTCGACCTTTTGATGAGCTGAAAAATGCAAACATAACATACTGATTATTAATTCTTTCACTGGAAGGGGAGCAGGAATGAGACACAGTCACAAAGTTCTCTAATACTCTATTGAATGATGTGTATTACTTTGATTTGAGCTGCTTCATGAACTATATCAAATTCCTTTCCGATAGTATTCGTAAAGTAGACTCACAGCCTTTTTCATGACCAACCTTCACTTGCATTGAACTTGGGTAGCTATTATCTTCTTGACCTCTTTTGAAGTCCCATCATATAACAAAAGCAAAAATAGTACAAGTAAAAATATCAATAATGCTGAAAAAACTCAATTCTGTAGTGATTGATTCAACTTCCTATTCCTCCATAAAAATTATTGAGACATTAAATTAAATATCATAATTTTATAGTAAGGTATATTCTAAAAATGCACCCATGATAGTTTATAAGAAATCATATGCCACTCATCTCCTACTTAGTTGCCCTCTAAAGAAAAATACATCAGTACACGAGAATGGACTCAACGATCCACAATGGAGGCTATATTATTAAAGTAAATAAATTACAATGTAATCAAACATATTTTTTAGTCCAAACTTTACCAAATTACTTAGCAAAAGAATCATGTTATCTACGACACTAAAAATACCAATCTTTTGAGCTATCTTAACAGATTTAATAATATTCAGACAACACTATAAATTCGCTTATTATAGCTCACAAATAACAATTTTCAGCCATATTATAAGCATGTACAAATTCTCAATTCAAGGTAATGCTTATGTTAGCTACCGATCAATAAAGTATGAGTAATAGTTTTCCCAAATGCTCACTAATACTCGCATCAAAATAGAGAAACTCAAATCAAAATAAACATGGATAATCAAGAAATCAAAAGTAAACCAGATTTAACTATGAGCATTTTGGATTAAATTGCACAACTAAACTCATTTTTTCCCCCTCTACAGAATTCCAACAATACCTATAAATAAACAAAACCCAAATCTCAAAATTCAAATTCATCAAAATAAACACCAAAAAAAAAAAAAAAAAAAAAAAACCTGAGAAATAGAGTAAACATAAATGAACCAAAAAGATATTTGCCAAAGAATAAAAGGATACTAAAAAGGGAAGGCATTGGAGATCGAAGAACTCACTTAATGCTGCTCTTTCGCTAGCCATTAACCTTTTCACTTCAGATCCCATTCAATCTCCCCATTTCCCCTGTTACTCTCTTCACGAACAAAGCAAAAATAATTTTTTTTTAAAAAAAAAGTCAAAATGGGATTTTTACATGAGGTTAAATATCCACAATATAAACTTAAATTATAAGATCAAAAGAAGGTTTGTTACTCTATTCCAGATGAATTAAGAACCCTCTTTGTCTTATAATCATAAGAAAAATTTGTTTAATTTTGCAAGCATTCTATCTTCCCATATTTATTAAAAACATGGCAACATTATTATAGTAATTTGGGGCTTATAAAAAAACTGAAAATTTACTGAGGAGCAACAATTCCAGGATGGTAATAATGAGTGTTATCGACTCTTCCAATAGTTGGAGCTGATATTCCAGCAGACTTCATATAGAAAATAATCAATTAGATACTGAATGATCTAAATCAAATATATAAATAAATAAAACCCTAGCTTTATGATGCATGGGAATATAATCTCAATTTTTTTACCAAACTAAATCGAAATCACCCCAAAATTCTGAAATAATTTGTCACCCTCCATTTCCGCATAGAAAGAAATTAAAGCATCGTTCATAATCAAGGTACAAGAAATATAACGAAAAAAAAGGAAATGAACAAAACCTTAAAAGTAGAAACAATAGCACCCAACCAATCTTCATGATGAAACAATGAAGGAAGAAATCGAGTTAATTATTATAGCATTCATATTATAGCCAAAATGTTCAGAAATTTGTAAGTAAGGAGGTTTCTCTCCTTGGGCCCTCAAACCACCATAAATACCGGCAGCCTTGAATCCCTTCGCAGCTGTACCTCCCCCAGAAATCTACAAAAGAAACTAAACACTGAGATTTCAAGCTTTTCTTTCTTCATTTCAGATATGGAAATAGACGTCAGAATCTGTCTTGCTATCCTTTTAACTCAATATTCAGGATCAGCATGACCTAATTCGCTAACCCCACTCCCCCAACCCCCTCAAAAACTACGATCATAAACATGCGAATTGGTACAATGAAGCACTTAAGAACTTATAAAATAGTGACACTTTTGAACAAATAATATAAATAGTAAACTGCATTCATGTACCATTCCATGTGCTGCAAATTAGATAACGTTGTTCAGGATGAACAAGAAAACACAAATATAATTCGGAAATCAGTAACCTGCTGCCAAGGTCCTTCAGGGATAAGTATAGGAGCTGCAGGTATATAATTCGCAGCAAGTACGTCCTTCACCGCATCAGTAGCAACTGACGACATGGAGACTATTGTCAATTCCCTCCTAGACCCAGACAGTCTGCAAAACTGATTAAAATGTGTATTGAAATAAAATGATTCAGGGACACCATACAAATATCATTTTCCAAACTGAGCAACCTAATTATTTTACTCTTATAATAATCTTACAATTGAGAAATTATCGAGACCTTTTTGTTGTTGAATCCTGGAAGTTTGACAGAAATGTGATGGAAACAAATCGACATTGTTGAACAAATTTGGACTTGCTGCATTTTCAGAAAATGTGCAAAATTTTAGAGTTTTTCATATTAAATTCAATCTATAATACTGGAAAAGTGAGGAATGCAAAAACAAAAATTAATAAAAAAGGAAAAACTTAAAACATTCTTGAGTGTCTTAGAGCTAAACAACCCACAAATTGAGGAACTGATACAAATCAATAAGACAATAATCAACATACTAATTCATTCAATTCACTCACTAATTCACCAAACCCATTTGAATTAATCACCAAATTTGACATAATAAGGAGAACAGAATATGTACTTATAAAAAAACAGTAAACAATCATACAAGCAGAACCCCAAAAAAAAAAAAAAAAAAAAAAAATCAAGCTTGAAGGAAGCTAGAAGCAAAAATTAAAATTTTAACATCTAAAACACCCATATAAGCAATAACCAAGCTCATTGTCTATCATGTTTGACGAAAAGAATAACGTGCTACCAATTTCTCTAATCAAAATATAAATGTACTGTATTAGGCAAAGCATCATAAGATGAGAGGAAGCACACTAAGCAAAATATCTTAAGAAATAAACCCAAAAACAATTCATAGAACCCATTATTCATTCAGCACCTTTATTCTGGAATGCCAATGATGCCTTCATCCCAAGCCTACTCAAGAACAAGGCATATAGGATGTGCAGAGAAACACGAAGAAGCAACAATTTAGCAAGAGCTGCCAGAAAAGGAAAGTGTAAGCTTGATGGCTACATTATACAAAATAAAGAATTGTTTTTTTTTCTCAATTTATAGTAACAAAGCCTAAATGTTCAGAAATTTGTAAGCCAATAAAATCTCTCTAAAGATTAATAAGGATAATTATAAAATACAGTTAAATTCATACAAGCACAAAAAAAAAAAAAAACCCTACAAAAATCCATAAAAGCAAGAAGACACTCACAGATACTTATTATGAGGTTTGGAGCTCCAAAAGCATTTGAGCAGAGTGCTTGAGAACTTCTCTGAGATTGTCTTCCTCTCGATCTTCTCCTCTTTCCCCCCTGGAACTCAACAAAGCACAACGAGCGAGTGAGAACTACAACAACTTTAGAGTTATTACAACTCAGTTGTTGTATAGGGCTAGCTGACAGATTCGAGGGGTACATTATTGCTCACAGATCATCAAGATTTATACAAGAAGACCTGTATAAAAACACACAAAACAAGTATGAATAGCAGAAACATTGATGTAGATAGTTGCAACTGAAGTATAAGTGAGCAATCTAAATAGTCAAAGAAAAGGAAGAGACGTACGCTTAAACTCATCAAGACCCCCGACCAGATTTGGCATTTAGGTAATGCCCACCTGCGAACTCAATCATAGTAGGGTGTCCTTTTTTTTATCTATGCCTCCTAGATTAACTTTGTTATGGGAAAGGTCATAATGTTTCTCTTATCTTATGACAAACTTTAGGCAGATAAGTCTGCCTCCTTTTCAAACACTTTAAGAACATAGAACCCGTCTTCTTCACAAGATTACAAGTAAGAGGAATCTTCGGAACATTAAGTCATCTATTTCCTTATGTGCACTTCAGAAACTTCTGTCAGTTTTGTAGCACACATTATTTGTTATAGGAGTAGATAAAGTCATAAATGACAAATGACATAAACAATATTCAATTTCGGGTCATGACTACGTTGTTTGGTGATCGTGATGAGGTTTATTTTCCTAAAGTAATGACTACTCTCTAAGCTTTAATGAGTATTGGGCCATTGGCAGGCTTTTAATACATACAATCAAGAAAATAAAGTAAACAAGCAGAGATGTAAATTAATTGAAGTGCTCGAGAACAAAAAGTCTAGAAGAGTAGTATATTGTAATAATCTCAAACAGAAGAGCTTGATATACTTTTAGAATCCATCGCCTCACAAACTCATGGAGATTTATAGAAATGCAAGGTCTAACAATGATCTAATTTTGCACATCTTTTGAATAAAAACTAATTATTACTTCAGATAAAAAGGATCACGATCCTGCTCACCATCATTAAATTTAAGCAGGAAACGACACACATAGTTGACATACAAAAATAGGAGATAAGAGTGAATATATTTGAAAGACTAACCTCTTTACTCTAACAAGGATATCCAGGTTGCTTTTTCGGTAGTTTAGTTGATATGGAGTCAAGGAGGGCCACGCAGTTGAATTTTCTTTTTTGTTATAGAAGCACAAGACTAACTTCAAGCACTGCATTATTTTGCACCAACCTGCAATTGCTGCTAATATTACAGTAGAAAAGATAAAGGATGCTCAAGTTATCAGTTGTATGGTGTAAATTACTCTCACGTATAAATTAATAAATTATAAGGAGACTATCATATCAAACATGACTTCTTTGTTGCCTCCTTAATACTTCCCAAACTCACTTGATAAGTTATTACACTCATATAAGTAGAACACCACCCTTATCTAGACATACCACATGTACAAACCTTTACATATGTATTTTCTCACCTCATTTAATAAAAACAACAAAAGGCTCATGTAATACGAAATAAGAAGTTAATTAAGAGTGATGAATAAACTTGGGAAGATTAGTGTTCGTTCATCAAATCTAATTTATAAACATTTAAACCCTTCAATGCATTTAAACTAATTAACTTTAGTCACTCACATATTTGAAAATTTAACATATACATTAATCCTCATCACTTTGGCAAATTGTCAAAACATCCTACTTTCATTGTAAAATTACATCTAATAACCAAGTATAATGAGAAGTTGAGAGCAATGCATTTTCATCCTTTTTAATCTAACAAACCTAGCTTTAATTTTTAATCTCCAATTGAAACTTCAAGAATCAACACTGTACCCTCAAACATCACCTATAGCATCTCATGTCTAAAAGCAAGCTCACCAGCAGATAACCACTGATTTCAAGGCAATGGCAAACTGGCAGAATAAAACAAAAATTACCATAATATGCTAAACATGCAAAGCTACTGCGATAGAATCAAGGCAGCAATTTGGTTCCATTGCTAAACTCCAATGATAAAAACTTACACTTCTGGTAAATTTTCATGCTACAAACAGTACAAAAATCTACCTAAACCCCTTAAAATCTCAATCAAGAAATGAAAATTTATAGAACCTACTTAGTTAATCCTTTAAATTTAGCAAAAATTGATCATGTAATCAAGGATAAATCACCAATGAACCAACAGAAATTGAAATTAGTTCTTCACAAAACAAAACAAAACAAAACAAAACCAAAAAAAAAAAAAAATTAAAAAAAAAATTCAAATTTTAGAGCATATACCAGCATCAATAACAGCATCCCAATCTATAGTAATTCCATCTTTCAGAAACTGCTACGGCAGATAAACCTGTGAGTTCGCTAGCAATACGAACAAGAGAAGGGTTGAAAATTGAACCAATAAGAACAAGAAAGAGAAAGGAAACAGATATTGTATACACAACACATCAATATTTCCACTAAACTGCAGGATTGTTCTCAAATATCCAAAATCTATAACCCTTAATAAAAATGGGAAGTTAGTAACAGTAACTTTTGGAGTTATTACATTTACACATAAATCCAAATATTCCTAATAAACTGCAGAAATTTAGTCAAATATCCAAAATACATCCAAACCCCTAAGAATCTTAGTATACATCAAAATTCTCCTGGGTCCATCTTCCTCCTTGCAAAAATTAAATTTTTAACATCTAAAACACCCATATAAAGTAAAATAGTGAAATTAATAATCAAAGAAAGTCAATATCTTGAAAACTTATAAGACTAATACCTTAATTTTGGTGGGGTTGATCAAAGATACAAAGTAATCTCCTCTTTCTGGAAAAATACTGAAGAAAATAATGAGTGACCCGAATAGCAACAACCCATGCTCCAAACATCAATTCGTGGGATCAAAGCTGCGACAAAGCTTCTTCCTTGCTTGGTTTCTTCTGGAACATTCCTCCGAACATCTTTGCTTTAGGAAACCATTTGAAATCAAATTCAATAAAAAAAACTACATAACTACATGAAAGCCTAGAAATAAATGAAACAACCTTCATATAAAAGGTAAAATCTAATCGAGGAGATGAACATCGAAGTATCGAACCAATCAGAACAAGAAAGATAAATGAACCTTAGCAACCGCGTTGCCAAAACCGATGAAATTGAAACACTGAGAAGAATCGAAGCCCATCGCCATGGTTTTTCAAGGATGATCGGTGGTTTTGAGCTCATCTCCATCATTGTTGAAGGAGGATATATTTTCTCTCTCTAGGTTTCTCTCTCCTTGTTTTCCATTAAGAATTCTGAGCTTTTTTTTTAGATGAGAAGGAGGAAAGAGAAGGAAGTCGGTGAGAAAGCAGTCAATTAGTCAAAGCACTCAAGCATCAACCAATTAGAATAAAGGGCAATTCGAAATTCCATTAATTTCGAGGGTGTAAATGTAATAACTCCAAAGTTACTGTTACTAACTTCCCATTTTTATTAAGGGTTATAGGTAGGAGGTTAATTTTTTTAATGAAACATTTTATATATTGGTTAATATTAATCATAAAGTCACTATGGTCAAATAGGTCATAACATCGTATTCAAATTCACAATAATATTAAACGTTATACAAGTTTTAATAAAGGTTACTATGTTAAAAAATAAGGTTACTATGTTAAACATAAGGGTCACTATGTTCAATATAATGTTAGTTACGTGTGTATAAATCTCGGGTCCACAATAATCCACGCAAGTCTTTCTGTGTTAGTGAAACATCAATACCCCAAAAACTGGCTAAAAGTACCCGAAAAGTGGCTTCAAAGGTATATGGGCCGACTTGTCTAAAGAGAGGAGAAGAAAAATATGAAAAGGTTTAGGGAAAAGAAGAAGAAGAAGAGAATTGGGTTTTGGTGTGAAGAATATGAGAGGTATGAAGGGGGTATTTATAGGCTCATGAATAAAAGAATTATGGTAGGAGAATGTAGAAAGAATTATGGTAGGAAAATGTAGAAAGAATTATGGTAAAAAGAATTAAGAAAATTACTTGGAGAAGAGAGCTAAAGAATTATGGAAAGTTTAATATTAAAGTGACTAAGAATTATTAATTTAAGGAAGGTAGGTTGTTATGAAATATAATATGGCAAAAGTGATTACTTGGAGAATAATAAAAGAAGATATTAGGTAGGAAAATAAGATGATCAAATTTTTAGGAGATGGAAAAATAAAATTAAGGAAAATAAGATATTAAGGAGATAATTATAAATACAAATTACCAAAGTAATTTACCTAAAATCCAACCAGGGTGGCCGAATATTTTGAGCTTCCATGCTCCAAATTTTTGAATTTCCTTTGTAGTAATTAGGGAATGTTTTTGCTATATTTAAGGAATTAAAAATAATTGTGTAAAAAATATTTATTGTATAAAATAATTAATTTAAGAAAATACCAATTATTCACTAAATAAAATAACTAAGAAAATCATATTTTCTACACATAGAAAATCTGAATATTACAGTAAATAATTTAGGAATTTTCTGCCCTTTTACAAAAATAATAAAATATAATTTTGTTTAATTAAAATATTCAAAATATATAAAAATAATCTGGTTTTTAAATAAAATAAATAGATAATAAATATTATCTAAAATCCAAAATAATAATTGAGTTTTAAAATACTTTTGGCGCCAATAATTCAAATATCCTTTTGGCTCTAAAATTCGAATAGTAAAATAATTTTTTTAAATACTCTTTTTTAAAGAATACTATTTAATTAATTAATTAAAAAATACGTTTAAAAAAATGGGGTATTACAGTCTACCCCCCTTAAAAGAAGTTTCATCCCAAAGCTTAGCCAATATAAAAAGAAATTGATTCTAAATTCTTAAGCTCATGCACATCCTAATAACCAGACTCAAGATCATAATTAAATTTAAGAAAGAATCAAAATTACTCAAAAATGACTCTAAAAGTAAATGCGCGAAACCTATCGCCCTCTACCACCCTTAAATGGAGTTATGTCCTTGTATCTCGACCAACACATTAACTCATTGAATCAACTATATTAACACATTATAAACAACCATCAATAAAAGTAAGGAAAGCTAGAAAGTTTTAAACATCCAAAGAGCTTAGGTTTTAAAATGATTTGTTTACAAAAGTAGCTAGTGAGAAAATTCGTAAGATATTTTTATGAGTCATTCAAAAAATTTAAAATACTTACAATTAGGACAAATCATTGAAAACACTATAAAAGTCTCATATATATATATATATATTTAATTACAAGGTATGAACTAAAATCAAAATACATAATAAAAGATTTTAAATGATCTATGAAAATTTACAGTCTAAACAATTATTTAAAAATAAGGAATACAAAACTTTATTTTGAAAACTGTATATTTGAAAATTCATTTTGCATACTTGTAGTAATATACTTGTTTCAATAAAAGTCTACTTTTTCATAAAGAAACTCAATAATCACATATTCAACTTCATAGCAAACACTGTCATAGGTACTAAGCATAAAAGGAACACATCTAATCTTGACCTTCTTATCAGCCATAAATAACTTGTCTCAGGGTATCCTCCAAAAGTATTTACAATTTCCCTAACACATTCATAAATCCTGATAATACATCCTTAAATCGAAATCATTAACTCTTGGTCACTTCATAATACTTCGTTTTAAACATTCAAAAACTTGATCATCTTTTCTCATAACTTCAAATTCCTCAACCTGGTTGCTATAATCCATAACTCATCTTTAAGGCAATTCATTAATATCTCAATGCAATCATTGATTATTCCATCATTAATAGATTCTCTATATCAATTAACTAGTCATCAACCCCTTAGAGTAAAATCCTTTAAGTAATCATCCAAACAATCATTCCTTTAACTAACTTCAATAATTCCCTTCACAAGGTATAATTTCTTCAAAATAAACTTCGATTTAAAATAAATACCTTTATCTCAAATACATCCTTTAACTTGAATTGACTTAAGATTCTCTAACTTTTGTATTAAGTTTTTTCAAAGATTCAACCATCAACAATTTTGCTTTAAATAATCACCACAATACTCATCATCACACAATATGGATACTTTCCACCTTTAGATACAAACGATCATAAATTAACGCTAATATCCAATTCATATCTCCCAAAAATACATACCTTACTCCAAAACTTTATATAGAACTAATTCAACTTATCATTACCACAAATAATATTTCCTTGTTCAACATAAATTATATTCCAAAAATTAGTAAAGACTTGATAGCACAAATCCTCCAAATATTCATGATAACAATCCAAAACAACTCCTCATTTATTCAATGGTAATCATCAAATCCTTTAATATCAAAATAACAACTCAACCATATTGACCACATGTAAAACTCGTATGATCCAAATACTTGCCACATATCACATAGTTAATTATATCACATAAGATCAAAGAAATTAGTCAATAGACTATGTCGAACCTATACAAAATTCACATTTAAATGGATAAAACAATACAACAATTTATTGAACTCACAATCATTCCAAAATACGACAGAAATATTTCACAAAAATACATAACATCTATTTCCATATAAGGAAATTATTTACCAATTTCAACATTAGGATCACTCATTAAATAATCTCATTCCACTAATAATCTTTGAATTCATATATCTCATCATATAAATCATGTAAATATCATATATACACACAATTTCATGATGTGCACATTAAATAATTATATCCAAATTCCACTTTATATGAGCAAATATGTATCTTCCACCTTGGAATAAAATTTCCGTAAAAATTCAACATGCACTCAGAATTCGAACAATTATGTTTCTCATGAAAACTTCACATGAACCTTGAAAATTCAAATGCTATCATAATTCAATTTTTATTAATGAGAGTCACATATAAGGATTCAAAAAGCTTGAACCATAGAGGACATATTAATTCATTTAAAGCTTTCACGTTCATATTTATTCATTACAAACACGCCCCTTTGGAATTGAACATTCTCTCCATTGCTAATGGTTCCATCTTGTGGTCCACTAGATTGAGGTGGCCTGGCTTGAATCTGTTCTTACTCTCTTGAAATTTCCTTGCCTTGACATCTAATTCCTACTTAGAGCACTCTCACGGTTTCCTAGCTTTTGACAATAATGACAAGTCACTGGATTACCTTCACAATCTTTCCCATGGTGGTTCCTCTCACACCTACAAAAATACAATCTCTTGGATTTCTCATTGTTTCCTTGATCCTCATATTCCTTGAACATTGGTTTCTTGTTCTTCATTTCCCTTCCCAAAGTTTCCTTATTCTTCCTCCTTCCATTAATGCCTTCGTTCCCCTAAGAATTCCCATGCGTTTCTTTTCACCTTCCCCATAACTCTCAATCTCTTTTCCCTTAATCCCGTACAAATGGGCAGCACGACCATATACTTCACCCAGGGTTTCAAAAGTCACTCCTCTTAACTTCCCTTGAAGGGTTAAGGTTAGGCCTTGCTTAAATCTCTGGGCTTTGATGGTTAAAATTAGGATAACTTTAGGTGCAAACCTCATTAGGTCAATGAATTTGTTGTATTACTCATTGATAGACATACTTCCCATCCTTAGATTAGTAAACTCCATACACTTTTATTTCTTAGCTTAGGTAGGCTGGGTAAAACTTCTCCTTCAAAGCTTCCTTAAACTCATCCCACCCAAAGTTTAGTCTTTTCAACAACTCAACCTTTTTTTTTGGTCCACCACAATTCAACTTTCTCCCTTATATAATAAGCACCATTATTCACCCTCAACTCACTTGGGCAATTGATGGCATCAAACAACTTGTCAAACTCCCTAATTCAGTTTTCAAGATTGGTCGAGTCTTCCTTTCCTAAGTAAACAAGTGGTTTTGTTGCAGCAACTCTCTTAAAGACTTCACTGTAACAATTAAATCCATAATTTTGATTTCCCATGGTTCACCACTTTCGTGATGTTTTTTAGTGTTATGGGTTAACTTTCTAAGGCCCTTGCCTACTTTGGAACCAAATCGCTTATTTCCCTTTCTTGAAAACATAATTCCTGGTTATTCATACCATTCTTGAAAATTAAAAGGAATACACCATGAAAGCACTTAATTCATTCCAAAATATAGAAAAATCGAATAATAATCACTTCACTTAAGACATGTATTGAAAACATATAAAAGTAATTCAACCACTTAATCTAATCAAAGTATTTATTGAAAAGATCATAATTTAAATCATCATAGTTTGCCTTACCATTCATTCAATAAGCTTTAATAACAGGGTCTAGTGTAGTAGGATTTTTAGCTGGTAAAATGTGTTCTAATCACTATAATTTGGAGTATGGCTTTAGCTTTGAATTGGGTTAAAAATTGGGCTACAGTGTAGGCTAGCACATCCACAAATTGGCTTAGAAGAAATAACGTTGGACCTTTGGAGGAGGTGAATG